TAAATTAAAGAGTTTATTAAAAATATAGATTTTTGAAATTTTCTCTTCTCACACCAGAGCGGGGCTTTCAGGATAGAGATAATCCTTAAAAATACGTATACATTGCCTGTAGAAAGTCTACAACCCTTTACAAAATAACACATGTTTGTGGCAGAAGTCATTAATTTCAAGTAGTTTAGTACTGGATAACACATTTCAGACATTTCCATGCATTTGATGCCTGTGCTTTGTGTAAAATGTCAACACATAATGAAAATCAACACAATAAGTAAATCTGAGTTTTTTGCATGCAGTACTTCTCTCCCCAGGATGCGTGAGTATATACAGTAAGAAATTCAGTGAAAAATCTGGTACGCTGGCGTCAAGACACCTGCACAAGTGAAGACAAAACCTGTGGACGATGTGGCCAAGCCAGTGATCAGTACTACGCTGTGAGCAAGTCTGCTTTCAGCAGCAGAAGGACAAGACAAATCAAATAACAAGAACAGGAAAGAACCTCTGAAAAATCCAATGACTGCATGTCAGTTTTGTTTGAAGCCCAAGTGGAAAAGCCTCTGAAGAAGGAGATCCTGGCATCACCAGTCACTGCCAGTGGATGCTGCTGACAAAACCTCCGACAGATCTGGGTATGACAGGAATGACAGCCGCACTGACGCGGCTCCTAATGTTTCTTCAATGTGGAAGTGAGGCTCAAAAATAAACCTCTTTTAAAAATCCCGAGGTCCCTGCTAGCTTCATAAGCAATCATGTCAGTACCAGTACAGCCACGGTAAGCTAAAGACAAGGAGAGAGAAAGGTGCCTAAGCAAAGCCACTGGTCATATTCTGCCCTTCATCAATGCCAAAGACTTCTGGTGATAAAGTAAAGTGAGACATTTTCCCGCTGGGCTGTCCATAGGAATGTTCACAAACGAGAGAAGGCCATTAAGCGAAACTCTCTTGTTAATTTGCTAGTAGCTAACTGGTCCAAGGATTTCATCCGGACATTTCTTCTGGATCTTCAGCTTCGATAACGTCTGGATAGCTTGTTCCTTTCTAATATTCTTCCTTTAAGCCGAAGAACGTGTCAGCCGTGTCTTTGAACTGATTCCAGAGCAGGAATACGGTATTTTTTTAAGCTAAGAGACCAAAACTGTACACAATATTCTACATTATGTGAGGTCTTATTAGTGCCTTGTATATTTTTCACATAACATCCTTTGATTTAAATTCTACACTTTTAACTACATCTCCTGACATTCTGTTTTGAATTGCTTCCCCTAACAGTTTGAACTGTTAATAGTGATGAAAGAATACAGCAGGTGAACAGCCTGAAGCACAGTCTCAGTCTGACACAGGACCCCTGTTCCTCATGCCCTCACTGTGACACAGGACCTATTAAAACATCACCCAGGCGTTCAATAAAGAGGAACTCGTGAGCTAAATCAAAGCTGTGGCAGTTACAGAATGATGCTGATCTCTCTTGGTTACTCTCACTGCCCCCTGTAACTGCACAGGGAAGAGAGTGAGGCAGTGTGGACAGATGCCTGTAACCCCCGAGCCACTCATCTTTTAACCATCACGGGCAACACAGCCCTATACCCAGCCCTCCTCACCAACTGCAGTGTAGGGGGCGCTATATCTCTGAGAGCCAAGAGAGCCCTGGCCGGACTGACCTCATCCTGACAGCACCCTGCCAGTGGGGAGACAGCTGAGATCTCAGATGGCTCCAATGATTTGGCTCCATCAATCTGCTCTCCTCCCCACTGAGAGCTGGTGTGTGGGGAGTGTACTGGTGCACTCTGCTCTCCTCCCCACTGAGAGCTGGTGTGTGGGGAGTGGACTGGTGCACTCTGCTCTCCTCCCCACTGAGAGCTGGTGTGTGGGGAGTGGACTGGTGCTGTCGCATCATCCAGGTGGGGCTGCACACTGGTGGTGGTGGAGGGGATCCCCATGACCTGTAAAGCACTTTGAGCGGAGTGTCCAGAAAAGCACTATATAAGTGTAACCAATTATTATTAGGTAGGTACAGTAGATCCCTTTGCAGGCCATCAAGGCTCATGGGGAATGGGGGGGTAAGGGCCAGAATTTTTCTCAACACTCTGACACTGGAGATGGAGGTGATGTGTTCAGCATCACACTCCAGCTTTCCTATTACCCCCGAAAAGGATTAACCCCCAGTACTCATTTGGAAAGCAGGCAGAGTGGACCTAGGAGCCGTCTGGAAGGAATCAGAGCAAGCTCCCTGGCTTGCCCCTACCTGGGATTGAACCCGGGACCTTCCGGTCAGGAGCTAGACGCCCTCCAAGGAATTATTCATATTATTATTTAGGATATTCGATTATTTAGGTTATCTGATTGCGCACTGGTTGTGCACTCCAGGAGCCTTTATATTAGCTTCAGGTCCAAGTCCTGCCCTGAAACCCTGCTGCTGTCCATCTCCACCTTCCTGCTGTCTTCCCTCTTCTCCATCGCTCCAGGGGTGGAGAACAACCTCCAGCAATACTGCTCGCCTCCAGATTTCTGCTCTTGGCATGGAAATGTTCTACACAGTACGGATGCCAGGAGTTCTGTGAAGCTGTATTGCAGCAGCTGGGTGCCAGCAAAGTCTTTGCTTTCTACAAAACGTCAGTGTTTGTTCAGGATTAAAACACCTCAGTTTGACTCAAAATACTTCACTGGGACCTTGCAAAGAGTCGGAGAGAGAGAGACTCCCCTTTTCAAGATGAAGACGTAACATCAGTTCAAGAGAAAACTCGGTCTTTGTCACTAATGCTTCTCTGAGCCCAATAAATGCAACCCTGAAGCTGGTTCTAGACATTGGCTAGAATCTCCACTCCTCAACATCGACTCAGTGCTCATTCTTGTCTGGCCATGTCACAGTAATGAAAAAACGTATGGAGGTAAGTATATGCGGTATATCTAGTACTGCTTTCTGCATTTTTGCTCTTTATTTTAAAGTATTACTCCTTTGAAAATGCAATTAGCAGTCATTGTGTGTTCACTAGATCCCTGCACATTGAAACTTATTCTCTATCCTCTGAGTATAGGTTGTTTTTATCAGCATTAACCAGAATTATTCATAATATCACTACTGTGATTATTGCACATCCCTTCCAGTACATGAAAAGAATATTGTCCGGACATCACATTCAACGACTGGAGAAAATTAATGAGCAATCATGGCACACATCAATAAACGGCAGGGTTGAAATGCAAATTTAAAGGGCTCTGGGATTAGTGATCAGCATCACCTGTACACTCTGCTTCAGGCAAAACTATCAGCAGCTGTGCTGCTGTTCATTGAAAAGCAGCTCACCTCATTTTGGAATTACCAGAAATTTACTGTTTCAAACTGGGAATTGGTATCAGCCAGAGGCGATTTAAAAAGGGATATCCACCTATCCATGTTCCAACCACTTCAACCGATTCAGGGTCACAGGGAGCGAGAGCCTATCCCGGCAAGCACCGGACACAAGGCAGGGTACGCCCTGGATGGGACATCAGTCCGTCACAAAGCAGGCACACACACACACACACTTCCCACCAGGGCCAATTTTCCCAGAAGACAATTAGCCTACCAGCATGTCTTTAGCCTGTGGAAAGAAACCAGAGCAACCCCACACAAACAAAGGGAGAACACGCAAACTCCACACAAATACAGCAGCACCCAGGTCCCCAGCGCTGCACGGCAGCCACACTATCATCTCCACCTCCATGCCACCCTTACAAAGGGCTACGGTTTACCGTATTAGGATCAAGCCTGTCTCCACCTTTAGAAATGGGGGTGACCAGTCCTTGATTCCAGAGCTCGGGGAAACACCCAGAGGTTGAGCAGGGATTACTGCAGCCCTGAGCTGGTGTGTTCCAGCATCAAGTTATTGACCCCATCTTGGGCTTCTGTGTTATGAGTGCCTGGAGTTTGTCTAGTAGCGCCTGCGCTCTGATAGGGGAGTCTAAGGGTTGGTGGTTATCTTTTATAGCTTTGGTATAATACTGCCCTGGTATAATGTTTCTGTATTTGGGATCATTGGTTGACATTTTTAAAATTGTTCTTCCAGACTGTTCCATTTGGGGCAGCCAGTTTTTTTTTCTGGTTTTGATATATTTAAACAATACAGGTGTTTGTCCCAGAAACAGTTTTGATTTACTGACCCCTTGGTTGACGCGTACAGTACTTAGAGTTGTGTGTTTATGTGTGAACTCCGTATCATAGTCCCGGTCTGAAATTGTTAGCCCCACCCCTTGATACGGGGAGGAATGAGGCACTAAAGCTTCCTCAAGTTTTTAATCTGGAGCAGCATCCAGTGTTAACTGATGTAATGCAGAGCTGTTCTGGCTGTAATACTGTAGAAAATATTAGAGCTGTCTGTAAAGAAAATCAGACCTGGTTTCCTTAACAACGTTCCCATGGTAACCAGCTCTGATACAAAGGAGATTAAGTTGTGCCAACGCATCATGAGCTGGTACCCCTCATCACCATTCGACTGGCAGCCTACACAGAAGAATATCAAGGGGTCTTGTTTATTTGTTTTCTCGATAATCTGCTGCTGAATTAGGTAGTTTCTTCCACTGTGATGAAAAATCCAAATAAATCTGGACCAACTGGATTCTCTCTCCTATTAATCAGCTCCCTCATAGGTACTGCAGGATTACCAGAGGGCACATCGCTGTTCATCACCCACAGAAACACAATGCAAAAATTGCCATAGAAACTCAGTTTATCAGGCAAAATGCATTTTAAGGCAATAATTACTTCACCATTCGGATCTCATAGAACCATTGAGCCACAATACAGAACGGCACCACCTTGTTAGCATTTCAGGAAAGTTAATCATTGTAGCAGCTAAAAAAACAGCTACAGAACAGAGGGGAAGTCGGCTGAGCACCGGTGTCGCCTGCATATTCTCCACTCCGCCAGCCACCTCTCCCCTCCGAGAGCTCAGAGCACTCCGGCCAGGCTTGTTCGACGGTGAAAACCTGGAGCGTGCAGGGCCCCGGAAGAGAGCAGCCAGCGCCTACCTGAGACAGCCCGGGGAAGCCCAGGTTTCGGCAGCCGTTGCAGGGTGTCAGCGCCTCCCACAGGCCGGCCGGCCCGCAGCTCTTCTCGCTCTCCTCCTCCTCCTCCTCCTCCGCGGCGGGGGCCAGGGGCGGCGAAGGCCTCTGCAGGGAGGAAGCACATGATCAGGGCTCAGGGCCTGCGGAGCCTGGGTCTCGCGGCGCAGAGAGAACCCGAGCAGGTACACGCCCCCTCCCGCGCGGACGGGACGCGCGATATCCAAAGTCCCGACATCTTTTGGGCGGTTTGGTGGGAAAGCTCACGTGCCACGCACAGCACGTTACTGAGAACTGTCCTTCGGAAGATGGAAAAGAGACACGCACTAACTGCACAAGAATGTTTTATTCTCGCGTTTTGTTTGTGATTATAATGGCCTAGGCTGGCCACCGCTGAAGCTGAAGAGCTGCCTGTCTGATTTTCTGACCCCCACAGTTCGGTCTGTGTCGTGTGGACCTAGAGAGCTCTGCAGCACAGCAGCTTCAGAGCTCATAAGAAGACAAGAAAAGCAACAGACAACTGGGCCCATCTAGTTTGTTTGGGAGTTACTACAGTTAGCTGATTGATCCCAGGATCACATCCAGCTGTTTCTTCACAGAAACAGGGTATTTTGTTCAGCTACAGGGCTGGGAGCTGGTTCCACACTCTCACAGCTGTTCTTCAGCTGAAGTGCTGAATTCCTACAGCCAGCACAGATTAATGTCTCCCAGAACGCTGACACTCAATAATTTAATACTGTAATGGTTCACACTGCGCTAATTATCCACAACAGCCATGCCTGCTCTCTAAGTCAGCTGCAAACAATTGCTACTGTACGCATGGCCAGAATGTGCAGGGAAAAACTAGTAAGGAGCACAGAGCAGGGACAGGGATGTCCATTCGGCTACTGTATCCTCCAGCCCCTTTTATAAGTGGCGAACACAAAAGCCCTGATAAATGGAGCTATTGAAACATTAAACTAATACATCAAAAATCATGTCCAGAGCAGACGGCTCAAATGAGCACCGAAAGAAAATGTACAATTTTGTGTTCAGGTGATGAACCTTAGCCAGGGTGCTTTCAATGCAGGAGTTCTTCAAACAAAGAGGTCCTTCGTACAAATTAAAGCATGTGGAGACACAAGCACCACATTAGGAATCGGCTTCATAAAACAGAGCGTTCTGAAATAAAACACATTACAGTATGTTTTATCTGTTATTTAGCCGGCCTCCTCATGACCCTGAACTGGATAAAGCAGTCAGAAAATGGATGGGGGTCTGGAACGCTGAGCTTCCAAATGCTCTTACAGTTTTGCTGGAGTTAAGGGCAGCTGTTCAATCTGCGGGGAGAAGCTGTCTATTGTCTGATATAATATTCCACCTGAGCTGGTGCCGGTGCTGTGGGGTCAAACTGGCCCTTTCATACTGATCTATTTGTCAGCTCTGGTTTTGTTCCTGCTTAGATAAGGTGGGGAGACTACGGCAGGGCTGTCTCTGCTCAAGGCAGCTCGTGAGGCCTGCGTACAGTACATCGACAGACCGCAACTGGGGGAAAACAACTTTGAAGAAACAGAGACATGGTTTCCATCAATTCATTTACTGTACGTCAAGCTCTGAAATATGCAGTACCCAAAAGGAAACCTACTTTACCAATATACTTGATACTGTAGATCGGACCTAGGCTAAAAGAAGCCCATGTGACAGGGTGACGCTCACTCTTCACTGATTAACTGATTAATGACCTTATTCACCCCATGTGAATCTATTTAGTGTACGAGCGATTGAGGCCCTGACGGGCTCTAGGGGCCACTCAGCTGAAACTCATCTATCACTACTGCTGGCCTGTGAACCTCATTAGAAATCTCTAGCTCAGACATTAAAACTATCTGCGATCTAAATGTGTCTCGATGGATTTCAGCCATGTGCAGGTCTCCCTCCAACGGGGATGTACGCCCTGCACATCCAGACCGGACGTGAGTTATGGAGTGATTCTCTTTGCAGAGAGAAAATCTACTTAATCTATTTTACAAGGCTGAGTGGAGAGTGAGGTACATGTGCGATTTAGGGTTTGTCTTTATTTACATGATTTACTCTTATGGACAGAAGAACATCATCACTACATTTTGCTAGTGTCAAAACTATGACCAGTAGATTCCCCTCAATCTTTTTTAGACAGTGTAAAAACATGGCCAGGGTCTTTCTTTCATCCGCAGAACTTGCCTAATGAGCCTCTTTCCTCCAGTCTTTTAAAGATAGTGTGCTTTTAGACAAATTCATTGCTTCATTTTTTTCCTGAATTTTGAAAACAAACAACATCAAAATATGGTGTTTTAAGAATTGAAGGATGGGATTTTAAGACTGCCCAACAACTGTTGCTGCGTTATGTGGGCTTTGATACTCAGCTATCTGTCTGTTTCAGAGGTGAGACGCGCAGTTCAGCCAACATGTGCTCTGTCTGAGGGCTGGCAACAAGAAAGTCCACATCCTGAAATAGCAACACCTCCAGATAAACAACTCAATCTTTTTTTTAAAGATATATTACAGGGGAAATACAAAAAAATCCTCCCTGAAGTCATTTTCAGAAACGAAAGACTGTTTCGGAAAAAAAAAACCTCAAACCTCCCAATATTAGAGAAACTGCACATAAAAAAGCGAGCTCCGATTTTCAACCCAGGGGTCTCATTTTTCTCTATGTAGGTGTTGGGAATCTCTAAAGTTCTCAAGCTTGGCCTGCCGATGTCTCCTGTGATCTCTCCACAAACACACATTAAAGGTGACATTCCTGACGGGAATTCCACATTCCGAACTGCAAGCCCACACAGAAACGCAGACCCCCAGCTCCCCGAGGACCGAGCGCAGGACTGCTCCAGCCCCGCTCCGCACGTCCTTCTCCTCAGTCTCCCTGGCCGATTCCGCCAACACCCTGCCCCACGGATCGCAAGCCGTGTAATATGATGAGATGGGAGCGCTGTGCAGCCGCGAACCAGAGACGCAGTTAATAACTCGACAAATCCGAGATTTAAAAGATCCACATTAGGGAAATAGTGTGCTTTGAGGGAAAAAAAAAAATCTTTCACTGAAGCACTTCGCACTAATGGGTGGCATCCATAATTCAGACATTAATGAACTATTGAATCAGCGATATTGTTTTAATGAGGCAGCCAGACGGGCTTGTGAGGAGTGCTGTTTTACGTTACGCTGTGTAAAGAGCAATAATTTGTAATAATAAACACAACTACTGTATGTATGTTGGCTGGTGGGGGTTTAGGAAGGCAATCACCTCATCCTCCTCTTTGAGTCTGGCATGCTTGACAGAGTGATACAGTGCTGTATCTCCAGACAGCAACATACTGTAGCTGACAGCTGTCTGAGGACATTGCATGAACACAGGAAGAGATGGACACAAGTGCAGATGTAGACCACCAGCACAAGCAAAACCTGGTTTTCACATTTGCAACGTCAATCAAGTCACGATTCATTCTTAAACATCCCAAAACAGGAAGACAATCAAAGAAAATAAGAAAATCAGCCATAAAATTCAATTGGAGAGGAAATTATTTTAAAAAACTTTGCAGGCACAAAACTCTCACAGGTGGGTGGATGATCTCCTTTTGGGGTGCTTAGCACAGGATCTGTTATCTTTTTCAAACATCACATATGCCTGAAATCCCACCGTTCTAATTTTGTGAATCAACATCTATCCAATTAAGCTCTCCCAGCTGGTCAGGTGACTGAGGGCAACAGCTCATCCCCACTGCATTCTGGGGCATATGGTCCAGACAATGACCTCCATCTGGTCTGAATCTACCACGCTCTTGCAGCACATGCAGTAGGAGCAGCAGATTCATAAAGGTTACATTCAGATTTTTTAAACTTATTTTTCCAACTATTATACTGTATTTAATAAATGAGGTACGCTAATTAACGTTTCATACAGTACATCTTGTTTTACGAAATGACAGGAGTCAGGTTTCATGTGCTGTTTAAAGGTAAGAGATAAGATCAGATAAGATAAGATCTGATCTTATCATGCGTTGTATAAAGTTATCCCTTACAGATACAGTAGATATACAGTTTTAAAACTGGAAAAGAAAATTTTCACTTTTTCCTTTGCACAAAACCAAAAGCACTCTTTGCTAGATTTTTTAAAACTACAATTTAAAGGCATGGTAAAAGTAGTATAATTGTATCAAATTAAAAATCACATCTTAACTTTACACAGGGAGGACTGATATTACTCATCATTTTCACTTCTTGGAAGTTTAAATATTTGATTTCCTTAAATCCCAGTTTGTCTTCCCCTGAAAAAGCACGGAGAGACCACGTCTCCATCTTACATTTTCCACAGTGTTAATGTGCTCTTAGTTGTGACAGCTTTAATGACCCCTTCAAGTGCTTCAGAGGCATATAAAATTGAATTATTGACTCCATCAGTGGTAAAGCCTTGGAAATTATACCGAATTTCGGATATATGACCCTGGGTGAGCTGTCTGAGTCTGACAGAGGAATGAATTATTCAGAGACACTGTCTTGATAGACACATCCTCCTGACTCTCTGCTGAGAAGGAAACGGGCTTCAGGGTCACCGTTGATCTTGTGCCAAAAGATCTGAGGTGCCAACTATGCGAAAGTCCAGGTCACCAAGCTACTGTAAGTGGATGACCCCACTCTCCAGGCTCAAATCTATACCAAGTTTCCTTACCTAAGCTACCTTACAGAACCAGTGCCTTCCTCCTGCATTCTCCTAGTGCCAGAGCAGTAGTCAAGCACTGTCCACCTCAGACACCTCACATGCACCAGCCTGGCGCCACAGTGCTTGAATCCACCCCTTTACAGCTCTGGATCAAGAGGATCTACACCAAGCGCCAGATCAGAACCCAGAGTTCGCAAAACGTCCTTTTCAAGGTTTGTGTAACCACAGGCACGTAGAAAAAAGAGGACCAGGAATTGATGCATCCCTTTAAGTATCAAGCCATAAACTGAACACAATGTTTTGGAACTTTCTACCGTTTGTAATAAAACTGATGATGAAGTGTATTTCATTGAACGATCTGTATCCGCCCTGGAGCCTTGTCCAATCCACAGCACAGCAGGGTTCAGTGAGAAAGAGCGCTGGAGGGGCTTTCAAA